TCACTCCGGGCTGGCTTCGAACTAATGACCTTTTGGTCAGAAGTGATCTTAATGCAGCTGACACTCAACCAGCTGCGCCACAGTCCTGGTGCTAGCATATGTTAGGATATCCTAGCATATATTAGGAGGATCTTGTTAAATTAGCTTTTCACAACCTCTCCTTTGAATTGAAAAAAATAGTATGTCAGTTCTGAAAGGGTCAATGCCTTCTAGTAAAGTTAAAAGTCTTCCGACTCTGGGGGTTGGTGCTCATCTCTATTTCTAAGCCCAAGAGGTCATGTGGCCGGCATGACTGCATGGAGCATGTTTACCTTCCCACCAGAGCGGTATCTAGTGATCTACTCACATTTGCATGTTTTCGAACTGATAGGTTGGCAGAAGCTAGGGCTAACAGTGAGAGCTCACCCTGCTCCCTGAATTTGAACCTGTGACCTGACAGCAAGTTCAGCAGCTCAGTGGTTTAACCCACTGTGCCACCAGGGCCTTCAATGACTACTAGGCATGTGCAATTTCACTGGAGGTTGATTTGTTTTTGGAATTTGAATTCCATTGGGTACCTAGATCCATTTTCAGGAGCCTCCCAAAAATTGGCAAATGGAAAAATCTGTTTTCAGCTAGGCAGCAAAAAGATCCAGGAATATCCAGCCCATTGACAAGCATATGAGGTTCCCCTTTCTGTTCCTGGGATACTTTCCTTTCTTCCTTTCAAAGCGGCTTGGGTTTTGAAGAATGAGGTTAAGGAAGCACCTTTCCTGGGACCTTTTCCTTTCTTCCTTTCAGGGGAGTCTGGGTTTGAAGAACATGGTTATGGAACCATGCACCACATGCTCCTGAATAGATGGAAATAAGAAGCCACACTTGGCAGCCGCGTGGGCCGTAAACATGGCAGCTGAGCCCTTACCATTATGGCCAGCCGAACAAGCCGAACAAGCTGGATTGGTCAAAGGGAATCAACCAAACTGAATCTGTGCACAATCCTAATGACTACCAGGTGCTATAGGCTCTATTGAAGAGGAAGGAACCAGTAAAACCACTTTTTAGTACTCCTTGCCTAGGAAAACCCTAGGAAATTCAAGAGATCACCATAAGGTAACATACAATTGGAAGTTGTTGTATCCTTTCAAGTAATTTCTGACTTATGACAACTCTAAGCCAAAACGATTACAGAGTTTTCTTGGAAAGGTTTGTTCAGAGAAGGTTTGCATTTGTCATCCTCTGAGTCGTAAGATGTTGAAAATGACCTTGGAGAGAGTGTCACTCAACCAAGGTGACCTAGTGGGTTTCCATGGCTGACTGGAGAGCCAAGTCCTGGTCTCCCAAGTCCTAGTCCAACACCCAAACCCCTTCACAACATTGGTTGGCTATTTCATCCTCCTACTTTGCCTTGTAATATTTACAAAACTGTCATACAATGCTATGTGTGTGCAGATGTTTACCACTAGATGCTTAGGAACTGGTCAAGTTAAGAATATGTTATCACTAAGCTTTTGGCCAGCTGGCTCTCTCACCCAGTAGTTCTCCTTGCTTCCAATCTTGACAAAGCCAGATCAATGTGTTGTCGAAGGCCTTCATGGCTGGAATCACTGGGTTGCTGTGACTTTTCTGGGCTGTATGGCCATGTTCCAGAAGCATTCCCTCCTGAGGATGCCTGCCATAAATGTGGTGAAACATCAGTAGAGAACCTTTCTGGAACATGGCCATACAGCCTGGAAAACCCACAGCAACCCAAAGCCAGATCAGCTTGGCAATTTCAGACATCTAGGGATGTATCCTATCTTCTCCACTAGGAGGAGCTGCTACATTTCTAATGGGAAATCTAAACTGCTGATGTATATGCTAATATCTTTGAAATATTTTCATTAGAAATTATTGTTCAGTGAGAAATATATATTAGTTTTCATATAGATTCGT